GATCAATGCAATGACTGAAGATGAGATTGATAAGGAACTGGTTCAGGTGGAGTTGAACAGGTAGTAAATGGGTGTGATTGACATTACTATTCTAATCTAATCATCGTAACTAACTAACTAACTAACTAACTAACTAACTAACTAACTAACTAACTAACTATTCTAACATTCACTTCACCCACGCGTACATCAGATCACTATTCTAACATTTACCCCTTTATTTCAATTTATTATGCGTACATCAGACCACATTTTCTACTCTCTACCCCTTTTATGCCTATTAAAAATGAATCACAAATTATTGAGTATAACACACTTGTTAATGACGCATTTATTGGTTTTTTGAAGTTAGTGCAACAGAACAAGTCGGAAACGACCAGTAGATTGAAAAAGACCAAGTTTGAAGTGCATGTATTAGAATCAATTTTTAGATTAATCCGATATCCGTCAAAGAGTTTGCGGAGGTACATTTGTTTAATTACACCATTGCGTTATGCGTCAGTCACAACGTGGTTCCAAAACAGAAGAAATGGTGTTACATGTGGTCAACCAGATTTAGAGGCGAAATTGAAATCTTCTTTCATACGAAGATCATCAATTAGTTGGTCTTGCTACAGCAATTTCAGTTTAGCCGATTCATTCTACGCCAATCATGACTTAGGTGAGTTCATTAAGAATGACACATTCATCAAGAGTAAGGATGCGTGGTTTTTTAAACATGCCACATCATGTAAATGTGTAGCAGCAGAGGAGTTTGCATCATTGGAAAATCTGGATTATTTCGATACGTGTGCATCTGACATGTTAAACATGTTCTTACAGAAAGGAATTGAAATCAAGGCCTTGATAAACAAGTTTTATTTCGAATCAAAGACGTGTAGGTATACAAACAACTTGCTCTTCGATACCGATTATCTGATGTGCTCGGTATACAGTGGCCTATCAAAGAAGCACAAGATGTTATTTCTGAAATTGAGACGCAGAGATACAGAAAAATAAATCATTAGCCTGTTTTATCCGTCATTTATCCTATTGCGCACGTATTCCCATATGATGTTACACTCGTTAAAACTCATGATAACCCGGAATATCCTTTATTAACATCTTTTGTCTGTTATATTTCTTTAAATGTTTTAATCATGCCAATAATAACCATTCTTATCTTGCTTTCTTTCTTTATTTTTCTTTTATTTCCTTATTTTTTTAAATTTCTTATACCTTTCCATCTATCATTACCTATTTATATCGATTCAATAAACTACAGCTTCACAACAAGATACACAATACGTCTAAATAGCACAATAAGCGTCTCCATTACGCTCTTTTGATCTCTTCTTCCATCAAACCTTATTTATTCATTCATTTTCCTTATAAAAATCAAGAAATTTCAACTTTTTACTAAACAATGGCACAAGGCATGTACCAATTATGCACTCTCACCCCTACATTTTCTACCCTATTCATAGAAATAATAGCAATTTATTGGTCATTTGAGCTGCATACAGCTATTGGATGGTTGATGCTTCCTATTTCATCATCCATCCCCTTTATAATTATTTAAGAAATTACATTTTTCCCTTTATGTCGGATTACTTCGCACCACTCAGATTCATCAAGAATCATCCAGAATCATCTAGCACCATCAAACACATTGTCACAAAAGATATCGATGGAATAAAAGGCGCTGCGACCCTCTCAGCATTACATGGCATTAAACACAAGGTATGCATAGAACTAAAGAACTCATCACAGACAATCTTTACATCAAGATTCCCCGTGCAGCTAAATGATAGCTTTTACAATATCTCAGAACTTATGCACATCAGACTTGGAACAGTCCATCTCACATCTGTACACACGCTCACATATTTCATTGTTGTTGGTGAACCATGGCCATACGTAACAGATAAAAACCGCCATAAGTCAAAATACAGCACCGGTAACAAGCAGGACTCAAAGCGTTTCTTCAATAGACTTTTGACAGCAGCAGAACGCATCTTTACGAAACTTTCAAAGGAATATTCACTGGCTAATGCTACGATACGATTTACTCCCAACAATGAAATCACAGCCATAGCAGATGAGGCAATGCTAAAAACATTGCTACGGAATCTAGCAAAAGAATTTGAAACTGAAACATTCCTCTTCTTTGAAGCATACAACATGAAACAGGAAACAACTCACTATTTTTTAGACCCATTTGAAAGAATCATTGAGAATCACTACGACCCAGCTGTCATCACTCTGTATGTGGATGCCTCAGTCAACTATGCTCATCGGGGTAGGAAACTTCTCTTCCTAAAGGAGTTTACAACAAACGCACACAAAATAGGTCTGGCTACGTACAAACCTTTCATGCTTCCGGAAATACACAACATACATGGATATACATTAAGAATTAATCGAGACCGTACACGACTTCTATCAAAATGTAGCACTTTATCAAAGGTGAATTTCTACAATTCACTGTCAAACACAATTCTGATACCTGCTTTCAGAAAGAAGGCCTACCCGGTTTGTTCAGTTTCCGTGCTAATTCTCAATTTTTTTGGAATAAGCTTCGCAAAAAAATACGATTTTAACAGAAAAATGAAATATAAGAAAGAGTTTGAAACTGCAATCCACATGCTTGAGAAAAATAAGCAATCTTCATACACATTCCGCTTTGAAGCGACGGTCACATATAATAATTTGGACAAATATCTGAATTTTATCTACGAAAATGTAGAAAATGACCATTTTCATGAATTTGAACAGCATGATATATGCAGAATATTCAAAAATGTGCTTGAATACGTGTATAACCAGATATTCAACGAGGTGAATTCTGATATTCGATCATATATCAGGAGAATATTATGTGAAATATTCCTATTCGAATTCTTCCTACGTGGAGGTAGAAACAAACGTGTTTTGCACAAAGAATACGCAGATATATTGTTACAAATATCAACATTGAAAGAATTCGATCATGTTCTGCAATCAAAAGCTTTCGACAACAAGGACCACCAACTACACGTTCTCGATGCTGTCATTTTGGAGAATGTGCAGTTGGCTCATTATGACTTACTTATAGATTTCTACAGAATCACCAAGAATCAGTACTACTCAATCATCATCGATGAGGATGAGGGGTCACAATTTGTCGAATTGGTGGTTAACACCCTATTATATGAACTACTACAGAAACATATTTCGCAACACAATATTTCGACATATAACATCACAATAGACACGTTCAAACGGTACATTCGAACGAATCGCACAGTTAGTCCAAACGAAATAGCTACGCTCTACTTTTCAGACGCTTATAAACATACATACGCATACTGCGCCTGGCATTTCTACATATACATGTTCAATGAAGAGCGCTGCTTAGCATTATTCGAACAAGCACTAGGCGATGAACATATTGTGACATTCTGGTACAAGACGCAGCTCAGAATATATGATCTATTTAGTATTACGTTTACAAAGTATGCAGCAGATTACGAAGAAAATGTACTGCAACGGTATAAGAAATATCAGACAATGTTCACACATCACTTTTACTACGAGCACGATTGGCACAGAGAACTCCCGAATAGGTTCCCTATCACATTGGTTGAATTAGTGTTCTTCAACCTGGTGCTAGGCACTGATCCTTTTGGTAAGTTTGTGCAACAGAAGTTAATAGAGAATCTTGGCCTACCTTACGCATATTATTTGCCTCATAAGACCAGATTACACAGTATGAATGTGCGGAAATTCAAATTTAATAATGCAGTCGATGGTCAATATGCTGATGTGTATACGTACTTATACGATATTTGCAAGTTCAACTTCACCACAATGTTCAAATACCTGCTGCATATGCAGATGAGATTCAAAACTCCTTCTCAATTGCTCGCTCTTTCCCATATTTATCACAAACACAAAGGTGATGATATCAATTCATATTCCTTTCAAGAGATCAATGACCTGTTTGATATACAATCAAAGGTAACAAATGAGGACTTGAACAGTGTTGAGTGGGTATTATCTGAGATACACGTTGATTACGTTGATAATAGATTATACTTGAACATGATTCAGGAGAATAGTGGCCATACTGAAGACGCATTTATTAACACCGATGAATTGGATGTGAAGCAACAGTCTATTGATGTTGACAATGATGATGGATGTCATTCTGTTGAATTTGCTGCTGATGATACACCCATATTGGAACAACCCCTCACAACCCCAAAAACAGAGACTAGCACAGGAGGAGTAAAACACGCAACCTTTGATATATCAGACACGGAATCAGATTGCATTGTATTGTATACATCTTTGAAGGGTGTACAGGGACGTAGAAGGAAATAGTTCATGCCTCTAGAGACGATTCTGCCCCACCATAATAAATTTACTAAGTGCTTCTCTATACTGATGTATGTTGATTCTGAGTGATTCCAACCGATGATAGCCTATTACAACTGTTCTATCATACATCAACTCTATTCATCTTCATACGAATGTCATATTTCCTACCACGGAGTCCTCTTCCTAGTTTATCATTTTTGTAAAATTTTTCACAATGCCCTCCATGCGTAAGAACGAAAAGAGTAAAAGCATTACAACAACTAGAAATTATCGTGGTGCTACCAAGAAGTCACCAAAAGAAGAAAACAACCAACAATCAAGTAATTTAACCAATTCATTAAAAAACGAATCGCAACAATCCAGGCCAACAGACGACCAACAGTCTGCCTGTTCAAGCAAATGTCACCAAATCACTACTGATCAACATATCAGTGATATCGAAAAGGAAAATTGTACGACATTTACAACAGCTGATGACGAACTTCCAGCTAAGTTGAATTCTCAAGTGCCAATCACTAAGGACGACATCAAGGCGATTTTCAATAGTTTGCCTGACGAATCTACGCAATCCAAAGATCACTTGCGAATTGTGAATCTTGTCGTTCAACGTGTATTCCAAAGGTATTCTAATGTCTGCATCGATGCACATACCTTTGACTGGATTCAAAGAATCATTCTTAGGAAAATTAACTCTGGGGGTTATTTACCTGGATTTGCTCACCCTGACACTTTCCAAGAATTACCTAATTTTGCTTTACACAGTGACTATCCAGTCTCATTATCAGGTATTTTAGTATGGAATATTCACAAAATCAATTTTGATGAATGTGATTCCAAAGATGAATATCACTTTGAACCAAAGTATTATTGGAATCTGTGTGGTCGTACATTGCACTTTAGCAAGCATAAGTGGTTGTCAAAAGTCATCAATTATGAAGAATCGACTATTGAAATTTACTACACCAATAAGAAGAAACGACGGGTTTATGAGACTGTCAAGGACCTACTATCGAAATATCACAATGATATTTATAGGCTGTTTGTATCTCGAGCAAAAAAGGATCATCATGGGTGGTATAGATTTTACCTGAAGGATGTTTTTGGAGAACTAAAAAAAATAATGGATCGGGGAGAGTATCAGTACATGGAAAAGGGTGCAGTATGCAAGCTGCTTATCAATAGGATTTTCAATGCATACATCAATTGCAACATGCTGATTGAAATAGTCTCTGGTGAAGAATTTTGTCTCTCAATCAGTGAAGATCTTGAAGTGAGGGTTTATAAAGCAATCAAGACTAATGGAATAGTGGAAATGGATTAAATCATCAGTATTACTAATATATTTATTGTGCTTTAAGTCTTTCTTCTAATGACTACTTTCCTGACTTTTATAATTTCTTATTTTTTAACCCCTTTGGCATTTGGAATTATCCGGAATGATGACTAATGGTTCCAGCTGATGCTTAGTGATGATCAGTGAAATGCTTATTCCTTGTTTTTATGCAGCCAGACGAGCTAATACTTATTAAAGTTAGGTCTGGAGATGTACATCGATTTGATCAGTGCAAATGTAAATGATTATAATGCCATATTGTTGGAAAATGACATTCGCTTTGTTGAAGAGAGTAACGATCCAATGATTGACACAGAACAAGCTAAAATCTCTTACAAGAAGAGAAAGGATGCAATTGAAGCAGAATGTAGAGAAATAAGAAGATGTCAAGTTGAGGAATTGAAATCAATGCGTGAGAATGCTTATATTATGATTAATGATCTGATGATTGCGGAAAACGACATAGGAAACTATGTTAAAATTGGTAAGTGTACAAAAAGAAATGTGCTGAGCTGAATATAGGTATGGATGATGAGATAATTAATATGGTTACCCACATGGAATCCATTAATATTGATGAGTATGCATCCAAGATAGGTGAATTGATGGGCTGCCTGAAAATTTGTGAAATATTAGTCGTGTCTGAAATAGGTATATGCTAAATTTGGAAACCTCTGACGGTTTTGTAAACTAACAGGAAGTTATGTAGCCTAAATTCCTGCCAGAATTGTTATTTCAAGGCATTTACTAAAAATTGGTGTCAAAAGTAATATAATAAATTGCGTTGCAAAGCTATAAAGGGACTAAAGATTTAAAATAAGTATTTGGATTGTAGATGTTCAGTCCACTTCTTGGGCAGAAGCAAGTAGTTATTCAGAATATCACTAAAAGTGTCACTCCTACCAATCACTAACTATAAAAGAACCCTAAGAATAGAACCGGAATCTTTAATAAACAGTACACACAACAACACCACTAGTAAGACTCAAATTATCTGGCTAAATATCGTGATTAATTAGATAGGTTTACGCAAACGATCACAATAGTGAACCCTATATCACTACCTATTTAAGGAAATTATACAAAAATGATGATTACAGCTTCTAAAGAGGTGTCAGACACCTCTCGATTCCGATACCACCAAGAAATCAAGTATTGTAGTTGAGGGTTTGTCGTAATCTGAAACTACATCCTTTTCATGTGAATAAAGAAC